TGATAATCAATTTACAAGGAAAGTTAGGTTTTCTATAACAAAGGAACAGCCCCACCTACATGCTTGTTGCTATTCTGTGTACGCAGGGGTGGACTGACAACTCATGGGGCCCCTGGGCAATAGGGGATCATGGGGCCCCTGTGTCCTTGCACAAACTCAAAAAAGCCTATGAAAAAGGTACCAGGGGCATCTCATGGGGCCCCCTACTGATGCCCTTGGGCAGTGCCTGAGTTTCCAAATGGTCAATCCGCCCCTGTGTGTACGACTTACTAATTTAGATAGCCCTACCTCAGAGTTGGAGCAAACGCTAGCAACCTATGCAAGATGTCAAAGGACCAAACCTTGACAATCCTTCAATAAGCCAGGATAATGGTGCAATTGGTCGTAGCCAAGGTGGATGACGTTATAAGCACATGGTAGGGCCATGGGAGCGCAGACAATGCACAGGGAGTAGCTTCTCTGTACCTATGACAGTTGAAGAGATGGTGGAGCTCATGCCACTTGCTACCATGCTTAGAACCTCATTGCTCCTTAATCCATCTCTGCCACCTTTTTTGCTGGGGAAATGGAAAGGGACTTGTCCTTCCTCCAAGTCATTTGGAAATCTACATAATTTGATCTCTCTTGTTTTTTAGCACAAGAACTATTAGGTGTCTTAGAAATCTACTGACCCTTCCTAAAGCAAACCATATTTACCTCCATAGTTATTCAAACTGTATGTTTAAAAACATTATTAAATATAGATTACATTATTAAATATTATTATTTAATTATTAGAATAGATTGTTAGAGAGGTAAATTTTGTTTTTTTTTAGCTCCTCTGTAATCATTGGAATGGTGAGTGATTATTTTTGGCTGTTCTGGGTCCCACTGGTTGCAGGCTCAGCTGCTTCCCTCTGCCTTCCAGTGGATTCTAGAATGTAGTGGGTTGGAAGAAGCACACCCTGGGCCTGAATATTCATATAGTGTGAGCCAATCCCTGTGAAGAGTATGACCAGTAGGGGACTGAGGGGTAGATAAATAATCTGGTACCTGGAGTAGCAGGGTTCTTGCCCAGGAGTAGAATGCCCCATTGTGAAGGGGTATCATGTACCTGGTGACAGAGGCCAATGGAGAGAGGGCTTCCCTTGCGGCTAAGTTCCAGACTCCCCTGAAGGTGGGACAGCAGGAGTCAGGCTCAGAGTAGCACAGGTCGCCTGTGGGAGTGCTTGTTTGGTGGTCTACCCAGGAGCACGGCTGATGCGCTGAGATGGGTTCTGCAGGCAGGGGGCGCTTGTGCGAGGTATGCAGGCAGGGTGCTCCTGTGCAAGCTATGCAGGTCTTTCAGAGAACAGAGGATCACAGGATAACTAATTCGAGCCAAGGTTGGGTGCCAGGTGGGGATCGGAGCAGATGTAGTCAAAAGGATTGCAGAGGTCATACACAGGAGAGAAGATCTGTTAGACAAGCCGGGGTCAGGTCGGGGTTAAACAGCAGCAGACAGGTCCAGGAGCAAGCCGAGTCATTAACAGGAAATCACAAGTCAGGATAGCAAGGGAACGAAGGTACTAGGGAGCCAGAGATCAAACAGCACCTGGGACTAGTGCAGGGCTTCCTTATATAGGCCATTTGGCGCCACATTTGAGTCAATGTAAACTTCTGAGGCCATACGAGGTACTGGCAGGGGTGCCAGGTCTCCTAACACCTCTGCTAAGGACAGAGCCCTGACAAGGGGTTCATTGAGTTCATTGAGGTCCAAGCTCAATGAGAGCTTGGGGGCCTATTTTCTAACAGGAGCTGGAGCCAAATCAAAAGGGATTCACCGATGATCTGGCCTGTAAATTCACAGAAGTGTCTGGTCGATATTGGACAAAGGTATCCAAGTATACGGGGACATTGTGAGTATAAACCTGAGTGTGAGATTCAAGTGACTGTTCACTGCTGTAACCCTTTGATCATCTGCTCTAGTGCTGCTGATTTGGGACCTTTCCTTTGCTTGGAGTCCCAGGGTTGCTTGCTCTCCTATTGTCTGCCAAGAATGGAATTGTCCTGAAGAATGTAGACAAGGCAGAGTGTCCTCTGATTTCTTTGTGCACTGAATTTGGAGTATCTCAAAGCACACCCTACAGCCCAACAAAGTTCAACATGCATTAACCATCAAAAGACATTCCTTGCCTTGTCATTGAGTTGTGAGATCGTCCAAGTGGATGTGTTCCTGACTGCACATACACCCGATTGGGAAGAGAACTTGGGACAAATCATTGGGGCGTGTCCTGGGTCTGTGCTACAGATATAATTATTTTGCTGTATTGAAACTTATAAATCCAGAAATGCGTTGTCTGCTTAATTTTTTTGGCTTCTTTCCCCTTTTAATTTCACAGATAAAAACTGGGCAGGACTGATAACACTTATTTATATAAAAAAAATCCAGCGGCACAAAAAATCCCCAAACAAGGTATGAACTGCTGCTGTACACTAGTGTAACACACCAAATAATATAAAACAATATAAACAACGCAAATAAAAAACCCCAAATCATATAAATAATAACTTCAAATAATAAGTGCAAAAAACAATGAATATACATATAAATATGAATAAAAAATAAAAATATGAAAAAATAAAGTGTCCCCACACACACATATAGAGTCCTTCTTCTCAAAAAAACTCAGCGTGCGTTCTACTCACCAGAAGTTACGTAGGACGGATAGACGGCAGACCGGAAGTGCGTCGACGCGTTTCGCCCCTCCCACAGGGTCTTGAGAACGCCCTGTGGGAGGGGCGCGTTCCAAGCGGCCATCTTTGAGAATGGTTAGCGAGACACTCTGTCATCCTCTGCTAGAAGGCTGTGAGGTTTCTGAAGCTGTCTGTGGACTCTATGGGAACGATGTTTGGCCGTTTTGAAGGCAAATAAACAAATGCTTTTATTGAATTTGTAAAATGTGAGTGGCCTGGTATTATTATTACTACTATAAGAAAAAGTATTAGCAATATTACACTATATACATTCTTTTCTTGCACTATTTTGGCGTAGGGAGGAAGGATACATCAGGAGTGATTGAAGTGAGAATCTGATCCATATCTGGTGGAATGGAGTCCTGGAGGCTGTAGAGGGGGTATAGGATCCCTAAAATTCCTAAAGGCATGCAAATCACCAGCATCTGGTGAGTGTGGTTTATGTTGGTTGCAGCACTAGTGGATGGTGGAAGCACATATTTAAAGGAGAAAGTTTTTCTTGGTTGGAGCACTAAGGACTGATAACACTGCTTAAGAGCTGCATAGGAAGTTACAAGATTCAACAGGTATTATTTTGCACTTATCAAATAGATAAAAAACAAAACACTTTCAGCAGTATATTTACCAGGTGAAAACGGGACAACTACCAGAAGTTCTTTGTTTACTTTTTAAAAAAAATTAAAAATGCACATTTTTTTGCAGGTAAAAAAAGCCCAACATCTTTTATTTATTTATTTACTTATTTTTGAAGCCTGTAAAGTATTGCACAAGTGATTATCAAATCATGCAGGCAACTTATACAAGCAGTTTAACACTGGCAGGAAGACTCAATGAACTGCTACTACAACTAGCACTCCACAGCACCATGGTGGTTCTTTGAAAACTTCAAGCCGAATTCCATAAAGGAGTTTACCATGGGAGAACCCAAGCAGGCTTGCTCGGTCCCTGTCTTGCCCCCTCTCTCCCCTCATTGGCTCATTGGCTGTGATTGACAGCAGCGGGAGCCAATAGCTCCCGCTACTGTCTCAGCCAAGGGGGGGGAAAAGCCCTTTTTTTTGGTGGGATTTTAATGGCACAATTTACTTGTATGATAAATTTCAACAATTCAAAAGAGATTTTTTTATAAAAACAGTATGAAATTTTATTTTTACAATCTTCAACAATAAATATAAAGCTACAATACATATTGCGGCGGTGTCATCAGAGATAGTATTACAAATCTAATCATGGATCATGCATGGTTCACACTTGACGCGTTTCGACATCAACAAAAATCTCTTCTTCGGAAGTGCTCAAGAAGGCATGACGTATGATTCCATGTGAGGTAAAATCCGCCAGGAAATATTAAAAACAAATTGTTATGTTAACACAGCCACGGATTTCTCATATATCACAGGCAAAAATGATGAAACAAAAATGAATAAAGAAAAAATTGAGACCAGTGGATGAAATATGCAGGCCAAATGCTTCCTGAAGGGGCCCCACCCAAACAGGGGCGGACTGACAACTCATGGGGCCCCCAGGCAATAGGGGATCATGGGGTCCCTGTGTCCTTGCCCACACTCAAAAAAGCATATGAAAAAGGTACCAGGGGCATCTCATGGGGCCCCCTACTGACCCCGGGCCCTCGGGCAGTGCCCGAGTTTCCAAATGGTCAGTCTGCCCCTGCACCCAAATGCACCATCAACAAGATTACCTGCTGGTTGCTACTGATAGGGCAGTGCTACTATGAGTGCGAAGCAATGACCACAAGGAATTTGCATGAGAAAGTGTTGATGACCTGATAAAAATCAGGACTGAGATGTGAAAGACAGCCCAATATGGGGTAATATACCAGGTCTATCCTAAGAAGCATGCTTGATGGCTGTGAGCTGTGCCGTTAAAGTCTCACCAAAAAAAGAGGACTTTCCCCCCCTTGTATTCGTTAGGGATGTTGGCACTTTGTGTATTATATCCCTTCCTCTCTCTGTCTCAGCCAATGAGGAGGGAGAGTCCATGGAGAGCCGAGCCTCTTGCTGGGGCAATGAGGCACAGGTAAGTATTGGCGGTGGGGTAAGCTGCACACAGAAGGTTTTTTACCTTCATACCAGGGGCGGACTGACCAATTGGAAACTCGGGCACTGCTCGAGGGCACTGGGTCATTAGGGGGCCCCATGAGATGCCCCTGGTACCTTTTTCATAGGCTTCCCTTCCTTTCTTCAACCCACCCCTCCTTTCTTTCCCTTTTCAGGCCAGTGACTGCAATAATAACCCTCAGTATTGGTGTCAGTGGTCACAATAATAACCCTCACACCTATTGTCCGTGTCTGCAAGAATAACCACAGCTTTTGAGTTAGTGGCTGTAATATTAACCACTAAGCAGTGCCCCCCAGGGGGGCGGACTAACCATTTGGAAACTCGGGCACTGCCAGAGGACCCGGGGTCAGTAGGGGGCCCCATGAGATGCCCCTGGTACCTTTTTCATAGGCTATTTTGAGTGTGGGCAAGGACACAGGGGCCCCATGATCCCCTATTGCCGGGGGGCCCCATGAGTTGTCAGTCCGCCCCTGCTTCATACATAGAATGCATGAAGGTAAAAAACCTTGGGCCTTTACAAATATTTTAAGGTTTATATATACTTTAACCCCCACATATTTTATGGGGCTCTTAGAGTAATAGCCTTTGAAAAATGCTTATTATTAATATTATCATTATCGCCGTCATCATCATCACCACCGATTGCCAGTCATTCATTACTCTGGCTGTTGATAGTTATTTGTAAAAATAATACTACTTTAAATGACCTTTTCATTAAAAAATGTAATGCTATCACTTAATTTAATTCATATTAAAAAACATCTTGCGTATATCAACTTTTTGCAGCTAAGGAATAATTTCAACCCCCTTCCTAAGTACGCACATTGAATTACTGAACATGACTCGAGAAAATTATTCTTCCACAAAAAAGCACACACACCGATTTTAAATTATTAAGTTAGAAAGTTAATTAAGCAGGTGTATTCACATCTGTAATGGTTGAGTCAGGGATTAAATACTTTGGATCACATATATTTGTTGGTTATTAATCATTAAGCATAGGATTTCATGAAGCTCTCCTGTACCCAGCAGACCCGCTGGAGTACTTACTCGCTAATGCATTATTTTTTTTTTCTCCCCCTCTAATTTAAAAGAATGTAATTAAAACAGAATTTGACAATTAATTCTAAGCAGGTGGGCATCAATTCCGGAGATTATGACTACAATTCTACCGAGTCATTGAAATTCATGAGAATTATTTTAAACCAGGAGCAAGAAAAAAGGGCAAAGTTTTACCGCAGTGAAAGTTTTGATTAATTTAAAGTGGGCCTGTCATAATGTACAGTGGAGGGAGCCATTTTTTGGGATCAGTTGCCATAACCTGAACATTTTCATAAGACATAGAGATAGATGTTTAAATGTACGCATATAAAATAATATTAAAAAAAAGCATAAAAAAAAAAAATATATAAAAAATAAATATTTTTTTGGTGCTCCATGTTTTTCTTTAACCATTGAAATGTATATATCTCAAATAATAGGCTTCTCTTGTTTCTTTCTTTTTGTTCTGAATATACCATATATAATAATAAAAATGTGAAAAAATATACAAATCACAAATAATAGCGCAAATTTTTTTATTATTATTTTGAGTTTTTTAATAATAGCAGCATCCAGTGAGTGTATTTCCTCTTTTTATTACATTGGCGCAATGATGTTGGTATAATAGAAGTGTTGTATTTATTGGAACATTTCTTTGGTAACTAACTTTTTAGTGATACCATATATAAGGTTTGACAATTTAATTCCTGGAATGCCCGCGATATAGCACTATGGTGGTAAGTCACATAGCCATTCGCACTCAAGCGTGTTCTGACATGATCTAACTTGCACTCGCCTGGGTCGCAGACCAGGGGACTCAGCCTTTATGGGGTAGTAGGAGAAACAGCGTGTGTGTGTGTGTTGCGCTGTCGGTGGAAAATGAGTGATAGGAATCTAGAGCGGTAGATCAACATCAAATTTTGAGTGAAAATTCGCAAAACTGCGAGTAAAACCTTAGCTCTGTTACAACAGACTTATGGTGAACATTCTATGAAAAAGTGTTTTGAATGGCATAAGCGGTTTAAGGATGGGCAGAAAGATGTCCATGAAGACGTAGGAAGCAGGCAGCAGGATTCTCCACCACGACAATGCTCCTGCGCACGTGTTAAGTGTTCACGAGTTCCTAGCTCAGAAATCTATTCCACAATGTAATTGATCACCTTATTCTCCTGACTGTCCACAAATACGTAGGAAGCAGGCAGCTGAAAATGCAAAGGATGGATGTGATTGTGGAAAATGAAAAGGTTACAAGAATCCGTTCAGAAGAGAGGACAGGAACTCTGGTCTGACAAGTGGATTCTTCACCACGACAATGCTCCTGCGCACATGTTAAGTGTTCACGAGTTCCTAGCTCAGAAATCTATTCCACAATGTAATTGATCACCTTATTCTCCTGACTGGGAACTCTGCCATACTGAAGTTTCTATCTACTCAACCCAACTCTGATGAAGAAGGAAGCACCCTTCGAAACGCGTTCGTTTTTACCCCCCCCCCTTTGGATTTACCTGTAACCCTGTGTGGATTATGGTTTACTTATGCCTGTTTTACCGTCACCTTTGTGAGTATATTTCCTAAATTAAATAAAATTAGTCACTATTTATTGAGGTAATGCGCAAGGTTTTTGCGCTCTTTCTTTCATCCTCTTCTACAGTTTTATCAAGCTTCCCCAGCTTCATGATAGAGCTGCACAACCTCTGATCGCCAGCGGATGAACACACTGTTTGTTACTAATGCCTGTTTGATCTGAGTCTTTGAGCGCAGGAGAATAATGGATCTTTGGTGACTAAGAAGTTAAAGAGCCAGCATTCAGCACAGATAGTCACAGTGACTGTTTTTTGATATAACAAGAGCGTCATTCTCCTTGTTGATCAGCAAGCAGTACATTGAGACAGTTAAGAAGCTTAGATAAGTCATTAGAAGGAAAAGACTGACCAAGAATATGAAAATGAAAATCCCCATTCAACATGACAATGCATAACCACACAAATTGTGGTAACATATCAGGTAATCGAAAAATGTAGCTGTCAGGAATGGACTTGCCAATAGTGGTGGGACTCACCTGCCTTGTGGGCTGCAGTACCAGGGCTGGCTAGCGGGTGCTCTCAACAACCAGAGGTTCACTTCGGCAATTAGCCATCACCTGGGGCTGATTGCAGGTGGTGTATTTAAGGGATGGCCAGACCTGCAGTCTGTGCCTTGGTGTGTGTTTTTCCATGGGCCCCTGTACCTTGTAACCTGCATTCCTGTTCCTGTTCCTGCCCGACTTGTTGCTGACCCTGCCTGATCCTGACCTCTGCTGACTTCTCCTGTTTGATCCCTGGCTTGTGACCCTGACCATTCTCTTCGCCTGCTCCTCCTGTACCTACCTGTCCGATAGTTATCGACCCGGCCTGCCTGACTACGTTGTGCTCTATATGTGTATGTACCTGTCAGGAATGGACTGGCCAGCAATGGTGGGACTCACCTGCCTTTTGATCTGCAGTACCAGGGCTGGCCAGCGGGTGCTCCCAGCAATCAGAGACTCAACCTTTCAGCCAGCTATCACCTGGAACTGATTATACTGGTGTATTTAAGGGATGGCCAGATCTGCAGACTCTGCCTTGGTGTTGTGTTTGTCCTGGGCCCTGTATCTGTCCTGCATCCTATTTCTGTTCCTTTGCTGACCCTGCCTGATCTGAACCGCTGCTGACTTCTCCTGCTCTGATCCCGGCTCGCTCCTGACCATCCCTCTGCCTGACCCTCTGTACCACGCTGCTTGCTACCTGTTCTGATCCCTGGCTTGTGACCCTGACCATCCCTCTGCCTGACCCTCTGTACCACGCTGCTTGCTACCTGTTCTGATCCCTGGCTTGTGACCCTGACCATCCCTCTGCCTGACCCTCTGTACTACGCTGCTCGCTACCTGCTGAACCTGGCCTGTGACCCCGACCAATTTCCGCTTGCTCCCCCTGTACCTACCTGCCCTATTGATATTGACCCGGCCTTCCTGACGACGCTTGCTTGTATGTACTGTTATCTGTGGGTGGTTGGTTTGGTTTGTTTGCACTGTATTATGTTTTAGTATTGCACTGCGTTTATGTTTGTATTGTTAGTGTTAATAAATTATATTGTTTATCACATATCTGAAGTCTGCGTTTCCTTGCGTCAGTCACACACCTCTGGTCATACCCGGGAGCCCTGACAGTACCTGTGTATCTTTATCAGTTTAGGTTTGGGTTTGTTTCACCTTGTTGTATGTATTTGTGTTAGCTTGGGGTCTGGTACACTGCGTTTATGTTTGTATTGTTAGTCTTAATAAATTGTCTTATTTATACCATATCTGAAGCTTGCGTTTCCCTGTGTCAGTCCACACACTTCTGGTCACACCTGCATCCCTGACAGTAGCTGATCAGTCCCCCATCCACTGTACAACCCAGATTTAGCCCCTCTGACTTCCACTTGTTCAGTTCATGATAGAGGGTCTTTGGGGACAATGATTTAATGGAGATTTCCAGCCTCCAGGGGGATCCCACACATCACATACATACTTAATTGATCTGAGCTGGAACAATGTAACTATGTGAGAATTGTCATTTGCCACTCGCCTGGAATTCATCTTTAAGTCACACAACCTATTCCAGTGACATTATTTCCCAATGAATGAATGATAAAACAGAATCCAAAATGGACAGGTGGACCAAAGAGCGTATGGACTAGAGTAAAAAGCTTAAAATCCTTTCCATTGGCAGTTCCGCCAATATGCCCCATGAAGCAGATCACCTGGCTTTGTGTTGCTGTAGCTATTTTGGTGATTTTTATAGCATAAATATAGAATCATGAGCATGTATTGTTTTAGAAGTTAGGGTTCCCCTAATCATATGCTAATGAACTAGATGGACTGGTTCATGAGCTCAAGGCAGGAAATGATGCTATAGAAAGTAGGACAGGAAGAGGACACCCATGTGCTGGAAAACAAAGGAGCATCAGAAGTTGTTTTGTAGGGTTCCAAGAAGCAGCCTGGAGAAATCCTGATTTAAAGGAAAAAGGCTTTATTACCAGGAAGAACCAAGTTCAGTATTTGTTTAGTGTACGCCTATCAAATACATTGTACACTCTTTATTGCTAGGAAGGATAGATAGCTTGTGAATGTTGTAAGCATATTTTGTGTTATTTTGCATGCTGTGAATTTTTTTTCCCTACAGTTGTATGTTCAACATTTCTGTTCTGTAGGGCATATAAATACACTACAGGGGTTTTTATGTTTCCTTGTTTTTACCAAAAAGAACTTTAACCAGTTCCCACTCAATAGTAAAATGACTGCCTAGCAGAACTTTCATCAATTCGTGTGGGCATCATGTCATGTCCTCCCGGAATGCCTCCTTGTCCGTGGGGCTGCACTGCGGTGAGATCTGTCACTGGCAGTGTCCATGGGACACAGTCAATACCCAATCTGTGTACCAACCCGTTGCTGTTACCTTGTGACCACTGTGACCAATCACAGCAGGTCACATGACAATTGTAAACAATGGATGGCTTCCTTTCATGCCATCTATAGTATACAATTGTGCTGCTAGCTGTGATTGGTCACAGTGATCACATGGTACAGACTGGGTCAATCACAGCCTATCTGTGTCATGTGATTACCTGTGATCAATCACAGCTAATTACAACAACACTGAATGAATCAATTTCATTCAGTTAAATGCTTGCCTATAGCAGTGAAATTCACTGCTATAGACAATCGTAATGTGTAAAAAAAAAATACTGATCACTTCCCCAGAGTAGTACAATGTTACTTTAGTAACATTATATGACTCTGGTCAGAGTGTTTTATTAAAAAAAATGGTGAAAACATTTTTTTAAATTTCTTCATTTTACCAAACATTATGACAAAAAATTATAACCTCAAAAAACTCACCATGGCTCTTGCTAAATACCTTGGACTGTCTACTTTGAGGGATATCTGTACTGTTCTGACATTTGGGGGATATCTGTACTGTTCTGACATTTGGGGGATATCTGTACTGTTCTGACATTTTGGGGGATATCTGTACTGTCCTTTCATTTGGGGGATATCTGTACCATCCTGACATTTGGGGGATATCTGTACTGTCCTGACATTTGGAGATATCTGTACTGTCCTGACATTTGGGGATGTCTGTACTGTCCTGACATTTGGGGGATATCTGTACCGTCCTGACATTTGGGGGATATCTGGGACATTTGGGGGATATCTGTACCTGTCCTGACATTTGGGGGATATCTGTACCTGTCCTGACATTTGGGGGATATCTGTACTGTCCTGACATTTGGGGGATATCTGTACCGTCCTGACATTTGGGGGATATCTGTCCTGTCCTGACATTTGGGGGATATCTGTACTGTTCTGACATTTGGGGGATATCTGTACTGTTCTGACATTTGGGGGATATCTGTACTGTTCTGACATTTGGGGGATATCTGTACTGTTCTGACATTTGGGGGGATATCTGTACTGTTCTGACATTTGAGGGATATCTGTACTGTCCTGACATTTTTGGGCTTCAAGAAATTAGATTGGCCGTCAGTACTTCAGGATTGATCAATATTTAGATATATACCATAGTTTGTGGATTCTATAACTTTCCTACAGACTAAATAATAAATACTTTTTTGGGTTATTTTCACCAAAGAAATGTAGCAGAATACATCTTGGCCTGAATTTATGAAGAACAATTCTTTATTTGCAAAATGCAAAAAACAGAAATAGAAAAACTTTTTTTTTTTTTCCAAAATTTTGGTCTTTTTTTGTTATTTTACAAAAAATAAAAACTCCAGTGGTGATTAAATACCACCAAAAGAAATTTCTAGTTGTGTGAACAAAATTAAAAAAACTTTAGTTTACAGTGTTGCATGACCGCGCAATTGTCATTCAAACTGTGAGAGCGCTGAAAGCTGAAAATTTGCCTGGGCAGGAAGGGGGTGAAAGTATCCGGTATTGAAGTGGTTAAAAGACAATACAAAACAGGCTTGAATTGACCAATCCTTTTTTTACCCTTTTAAAATAAACAAAGCAATGTGCCCAATAGAAATGACAGTGTCATGAACAAACTGTTTAAAGAACCTGTCAATGTTGTGCGCCACACCTACTGTATTGTTGCGCCTAATGCTTGACCAACATCCTGTTTGCCTTTGAACTCCTTCTTCCAACTCCTCATCCTGCTTCCTGTCTCTGTGGTTTGATCTTCTGTGTAACCACCAGGGGTGGACTGACCATTTGGAAACTTGGGCACCGCCCAAGGGCCCGGGGCCAGTATGGGGCCCCATGAGATGCCCCTGGTACCTTTTTCATAGGCTTTTTTGAGTTTGGGCAAGGACACAGGGGCCCCATGATCCCCTATTGCCCGGGGGCCCCATGAGTTGTCAGTCCGCCCCTGGTAACGACCTCAGCTTCTTCTCTTGGATTCATTTATCTCTCACCTGCAGTTTCCTTTGGCCTGTTTCCTCAATGTTCCTATGATCTCTGCCTGTTTCAGCTCCACTTGTGCTCCTTCCTCACTTCCATATCCACTTGCAGGGTTTTCTCTTTGCTCAAGCAGGGAGAAACCTAGGGGTTGTGACCTGCCACCAACATAGAGCAAAACCCATCTCCTCTATCAGGAGGAAGCTCTGGTGAAAACTGGCTTGTGCTTAGACTACTAAGCCTGGTGGATCCCTTGTAAGCTGCTTTAATGAAAGCTCCATTCCTATGGATTTGTTACACACATGTTGGAGAGGGTTTACGCCCATAAAAGTGTTGGAGCAGAATCTAAGCAAATCCACCAGATCTTCACCAGAGAACCTCACAATAAATGATGGACTTTACTGGTGGGTAAACCAGGTTGTGGCCCATAGACACACCTGTACAGATGGCAACTGACCAGGGATAGAGCCAGATAGTGGTACGCAGTTGACAGCCAATATCAGAAACAGAGACAGGCAAAAGGTCAGGACAGGCAGTGAACAAGAATAGTCAGACACATGCTGAAGTTGGCAATGAGAGAAAGAGGAAAGCCGGACGGAGAGCAGGAACTAACTTGACATTTTTCCCTGATATCACTTAGTTGCCATTAGGACCACAGAAAGGGCACATAGGAATCTGATTGACTGTACTTGGATTCAATTTCCTTGTTAATGCTACTGCTAAACTCCAAGCAAAGAGTTAAAAAGAGCCTAGTTTTTTGACATCCCTCAACCACCTACCCCCCCCCCCCCCCATAGCTGGAAAGGCAGTTGTCGGGAGTGTGCACATGCTGCCTCTGTGATGCTTTGCTTTGTGGCAGGAATTATAGCCCCAAGTGATTAGGCACTGGTTACCAGGGCCATCTTAATAGCATCATCAAGTAATGCACTGAGGCCCCTACCAGCCTGCCCCAATTTACACACCTACTGTCAAGAATTAAAGTATAAATAGTTTACAGAAATAAACTAATATTTATTAGCACTTTCAATACAATTTATTTTAAACAATAAGAAAACATGCCATAAATCAAAGACTAATCATCTCAAAGGGCACAGTAGGGGGCAGAAGGGCACAGTATGGGGGCACAATACTGGGATCAGGAGGGCACAGTACATGCTCTGTGATGCTGCCCGGGCCATCCAGGGACAGCTTACTAAAAAGCATGACTGTCCCAGCAAATCCAGGACAGTTGGCAAGTATGATGTAATAAAAGATTATTATGGGGCCCGCATGCACCTAGGGCCCCTGGGCATTGCCAAGGGGTGCCAATGCTTTAAAACAGCCCTGTTGGTTACAATCAAGTACAATGCATGTGGTTGTGATGTGGTAGTCCAGCATTTAAGGGTTAAAGCAGGTAGTGAGGAGGCGATATTCACTATAATGGCACTCATCGCATGTGGTTGGGACATGGTAGTCTTGCAGTTAGGGGTTAAAACAAGCTTTGAAGAGGCAGATTGCTCTTAAGAGGGAAAAACAAATGTAAATTACTCCATTCAGGTTCCATCTTGTGACTGATCTGTGAAAGAAGAAGCAGCAGAATGATCTCATCTCTCTCTGTCACCCTGCCCTCTGTTCTTACCAACATGTTCCTTGTTATCACATGAGTACTGCAACAAAACTGTTTCTCCACGATGCCTCTTACTTTCCCAGCCTGAGCTCTGCTGTACAGGGATTCTGGTAATTACATAAAAAAAAAAATATATATATAGAGAGAGAGAGAGAGAGAGAGAGAGAGAGAGAGGTGCGCCAGACTAAGTGTAGTAAATTGGTAACAGTTGCACACAAGATTTAAAAACTCACAAGACATGGGTATATATCAGGCATCAGGTATAGGAGGGAGGACATCATCTTAGCTAGACATCAGGAGCGGATGGCTGTAGTGCCAGGGGCCAGGGTTCTCACAGTGGCTGGCGCTCTAGGCGGGTCCCTCCCTGCACCGCAACTCCTCGCTCCTTCTTTGGGACCCGCTTTACTCCCGCTGGGTCCAGTTTACTCTAGAGAGTGCAAGCCTCATGACGGTGTCCACATTGCAGCTGTATATACACTGTATATACCATATTTTTCGCTCCATAAGACGCACTTTTTTCCCCCCAAAAAAGGGGGGAAAATGTCAGTGCGTCTTATGGAGCAAATATGGAGCGGCCGGCCCGGTATTTCCACCACCGGGTCCCGGGCCGCTCAGCTCTGCAGCGGGACCTTATAGAGATGACTGCTGACCTTTGGGGAGGGAAGGGGAGCGGGTACCTGAATTTGACAGCTACCCGTATCCGACTTCCGTGGAGTTGTTCTTTCATCTTACCTGTTCCTCTATCCAGCGGCGCTCTGTCTTCCCGGCTTCTGTAGTGTGGGCGCTGGGCATGACAGCCGGGTGCCAAGTGCGCATGCGCAAGAAGCGGTGCTCTTTGTGAATGGTAAGGCGGCACCTGGGACACATGACAGATCCCAGAAGCCGCCGGACCAATCACAAAGCGCAAGTGCTTCTCGCTCATGCGCACTGGGCACCCGGCTGTCATGCCGAGCGCCATTACAGAAGCCGGGAAGACAGCGCGCGGCTGGATAGAGGAACAGGTAAGATCAAAGAACAACTCAGCGGAAGTCGGAGCGGGTAGCTGTCAAATTCAGGTACCCGCTCCCCACCTCCCCAAAGGTCAGCAGTCATCCCCTGTACTATCCACAGTCTCTGGTCATCCCTGTGCTGTCCGCAGTCTCTGGTCATCCCCGTGCTGTCCGCAGTCTCTGGTCATCCCTGTGCTGTCCGCAGTCTCTGGTCATCCCTGTGCTGTCCGCAGTCTCTGGTCATCCCTGTGCTGTCCGCAGTCTCTGGTCATCTCCTGTACTGTGTCCGCAGTCTCTGGTCATCTCCTGTACTATGTCCGCAGTCTCTGGTCATCTCCTGTACTATGTCCGCAGTCTCTGGTCATCTCCTGTACTATGTCCGCAGTCTCTGGTCATCTCCTGTACTGTGTCTGCAGTCTCTGGTCATCTCCTGTACTATGTCCGCAGTCTCTGGTCATCTCCTGTACTGTGTCCGCAGTCTCTGGTCATCTCTTGTACTGTGCCCGCGGTCTCTGGTCATCTCCTGTACTGTGTCCGCAGTCTCTGGTCATCTCCTGTACTGTAAATATGAACAAGCAGAAAATCAGAACATGAACAGCATAACTGCATGACAAACTCAGTCCATATTGCATGGTGCGATAAAGTGATAGGTGCAATTGTCCCAATAATCCCTGTTCAGAGAAAATTCGTGACTCTTGTGATCTTGTGATTTGTACAAAAAATGCACTAACCAGAGTCATCCACCAGAGAGATCATCAGCGGGGGAGGGGGTGATCATACATCATTCCCAAATAGGCGTAACCTTCAAAAACGGGCTCCCATACTCCATTCCAGTAAAAAAAAAAAAAAACTGGAATGGAGTATGGGAGCCCGTTTTTGAAGGTTACGCCTATTTGGGAATGATGTATGATCACCCCCTCCCCCGCTGATGATCTCTCTGGTGGATGACTTACCAATATACCTGGATTGATGACATCTGGTGGCCAAACCTGCAGATGACATCCTCCTAATATTACAAGTCCAGAGCACCAGGAGCGGGTCTTAATTGCTCCATGCGCATTTATTGCGCTATCTGGTTAGTGCATTTTTTGTACAAATCACGAGATCACAAGAGTCACGAATTTCTCTGAACAGGGATTATTGGGACAATTGCACCTATCACTTTATCGCACCATGCAATATGGACTGAGTATGTCATGCAGTTATGCTGTTCATGTTCTGATTTTCTGCTTGTTCATATTTAATTTTAAAAGCGCTGCATATTTTATTTCTATGTTTCTATCTGGGTCCCAAGGTTACCTTTTATGCTAGCTGCTTCACTATATGTTCCCAGCAGCGCTCTCTATTACCTACTTATGTACTCCTGTGCTGTCCGCAGTCTCTGGTCATCTCCTGTACTATGTCTGCAGTCCATTAGTTCAGAATTTTTTTTTCCTGTTTTCTGCCTCTAAAACCTAGGGTGCGTCTTATGGTCAGGTGCGTCTTATGGAGCGAAAAAATACGGTATATAATCTATTCCTACCTACCACCCTTCTACTCAGTACTGCCTGTACTACAAGACTCCTTCCTCCCCCCCTTCATACTAATTAAGCTTCATAACCCGCCCTGTACAACCTTATACTTTCATCACTCCCACTATATATATATATATATATATATATATATATATATATATATATATATATATACTCTCCTTCCCCTCTTATTTCGTGGAAAAAATCACTTGCTCCCCCCAATAACTGAACTATTCATATATCTCCTAAGACTTTCTATGTGAACTCTATACCCATCACTACCTCTCTTGCGCCAATTACATCATATATATATATATATATATATATATATATATACAGTGTTTATACATTTATTGTCGTATTAGTGCATAAATATGTGTCTTTTATATTTGCCTGCCTTGGAAGGTATATCATGTCCGGAGTAAGCATGGACCAATGGCCCCACTACCCCTAACCCCCAAAGCTAGTCCTTGAGCACCAATCTTTTTATTTTTTTTTAAATCATAAAAACCTACAAAGTTATCAAACCACCTAGCAATGATTAATCGGCATTACATTTGTACAAATCTGAACGGTGATATTTTATATTCCACTTTGTTCCTCTTCAAAGATTCTGCTGCAAATTAGCGTCCTAATAATATGTACTGATGAAGAGGCAGCTTTTTAATTTCCCATATATTTTCCTCTTGTTTTCTAATAAATGTCAGCCATGAATATTTTAAAATGATCTTCAAAACTTTGGAATTGGAAATGCTGACTGCGGTGCATTCCTAATAACGCGCGTTACCTTATTGCCGAGATAGTTTACGGCATCTTGTCACCATTTATTCAGTATCGATTCGGCGGTGTCATAAAAAATAACATTGTTCTTATTTTTCTCCATGTTTCTAGTCGAGGCTTTGCTGATGATTTAGACAACAAATACTCCAATTTATCACATGTGCCATAAATTGCCATTACTGTGCTATTAATATTTGATTTGATAAAGCTCATTATTAACAGTTTTAAAAGTTAACTTTTCTCCATCTGCTTCTGATATTGGAGAGATGGTCCATGTCTAGCACTCCCCTAGTACATAACCGTTGAACACTTTCAAATTACTAACCAATGTAGCTGTCCTGTGGTCTCCAAACTGTGGCCTGGGATGTGGCCCTTTGCTTGCCTTTATCTGGCCCTTGGGGCACTATTTCATCAACTGGCACCAATGATTGGGCACCCTACTGATACCATCAATGGTGCACTATACTTCCATTGATAGCAACAATGGGGCACTATTTTCTCCATTGAAACCAAAGATGGGGCGCTGATGTTGGGGCATTTTCTATTCCCACTGATCACAGTCCCCCCGCCCCCTCAAAGCCTGAAGGGCAGTAAACTGGCCCTTTGCTTAGAAGATTTGGAGACCCCTGATTTAGAGCCACTAACGCCAAAAGAGTGAACCTATCATCAGGTATTTTTTTATGTTAAATAGTAGATACTTTGAACACTTCCAGGTATTTATTACCTCTAGGTCTCAGAGATTAGAGTGCTCCCCCTGGCAATGCCTTTATCTGCTTTTCTCTTCAGGAGGACACAGCTATCTTTGTCTAGGTATCATCCATGCTCATCATCTACTTTGAGAGCTTTGATGACAACTCAACTTGTGAATTGCTGCAAAGTTACAATGTTGCAGTCTTCCCATTAGGGTAGTGCAGACAGAGGAATTGCTTCCTCCAGCCTACAGCAGACTTATGACATCACATCAGCCTAGCCCTGGACTGGAGTGGAACTTCCCTAGTTTCCCCTATATGAAAATGCTGGCATTACAGAAAACACTATGCTAATCTAAATACCTTTAACTACTTCCGGCCCGCCATCTAAGGAAATGACAGATGGGCGATGGTTCTCTCAATCTGGGAAGACGTCATATGACGTCCTCCCACTCTAACCACTCATTCGTGGCCCCAGGGGGGGGGGGGGCACCGCATGGTGATCGCTGGTGAACTGTGTCCCACAGCTCATCATCGATCGAGGTAAAGAGCCATTGGCTGCTGTTCTTTACCACGTGACAGGCTCTGTGCAATCACAGCCTCTCACAAATGTAAACACAGAGCGGTAACTCGCTGTTACCAGCTTTCTCTCCTCACATACAGATCTTGTGTGAGGAGAGAAATCTAGCAGTGAGTTACAGTTCTTTACAGTGCACACATAGATCACAGCCCCTGTCAGAGTACCCATCAGTGTTACTAGTGGCCATCAGTGTACCTGTCACCCATCAGTGCACCTGTTACCCATCAGTGTACCTGTCACCCATCAGTGCACCTGTTGCCCATCAGTGTACCTGTCACCCATCAGTGCACCTGTTACCCATCTGTCACCTGTCACCCATCAGTGCACCTGTTACCCATCAGTGTACCTGTCACCCATCAGTGCACCTGTTACCCATCAGTGTACCTGTCACCCATCAGTGCACCTGTTGCCCATCAGTGTACCTGTCACCCATCAGTGCACCTGTTGCCCATCAGTGTACCTGTTGCTCATCACACCCATCAGTGTACAGATTGCCCATCAGTGTACCTGTCGATCATCAGTGCTGATCAGCAGTGCACCTGTTGCCCATCAGTGACCATCAGCAGTGTGCCTGTCATGCATCAGTGACCATCAGCAGTGCACCTGTTGCCCATCAGTGCCCATCAGTGTACTCGTCATTCATCAGTGTACCTGTCGCTCAAGCAGCAGTGCGCCTGTCACCCATCAGTGCCCATCAGTGTACCTGTTGCCCATCAGTGTACCTGTTGCCCATACCATCAGTGTACAGATTGCCCATCAGTGTACCTGTCGCCCATCAGCAGCAGTACATCTGTCACACATCACTGACCATCAGTAGTGTGCCTGTCACCCATCAGTGACCATCAGCAGTGCACCTGTTGCCCATCAGTGTACTCGTCATTCATCAGTGTACTTGTCGCTCAAGCAGCAGTGCGCCTGTCACCCATCAGTGCCCATCAGTGTACCTGTTGCCCATCAGTGTACCTGTTGCCCATCAGTGCCCATCAGTGTACAGATTGCCCATCAGTGTACCTGTCGCCCATCAGTGCCCATCAGCAGTACATCTGTCACCCATCACTGACCATCAGTAGTGTGCCTGTCACCCATCAGTGACCATCAGCAATGCACCTGGTGCCCATCAGTGTACTCATCGCCCATCAGTGTACCTGTTGCTCAATCAGCAGTGCACCTGTCACCCATCAGTACCCATCAATGTACCTGTTGCCCATCAGTGTACCTGTCGCCCATCAGTGCCCATCAGCAGTGCACCTGTCGCCCATTAATGCCAATCAGCAGTGCACCTGTCGCACATCGTCCATCAGTGCCACCATCACACAGTATCGTCACACAGCCACCATCACCAGGGTACCCATCCTACAGCCAACATCAGCAGTCTACCTGTCCCAGTGCCAACAGATCCAGCCATGTCAAAAAAAATTTACACTAGTGAGGAGGCATTCAAAATTCTAAGTATGACAGATGAGAGTAGTGGGGAGCTCTCACTGTCCGATTTGATTCAGCGTACGAACCCATAGATAGCAGTGGATCAGTGACTGAATCAGAGGAGGAAAGGGTCCCTCCTAAAAGGATACGGAGACAGGGTGCAACATGCTCTGCAGTGACTTTGACTTGAAAGAAAGCTGCTTACTCTTGTACTCCAACCAGGTGGCCTGTATGCCGGGGATATCAATGAAGGACCTTGTAGGAACCATCAAATGTACATCCACTGGGCCAATCGAGAAGCCCAGGAGGTGGAGGAAGCCCAGATTTTGTGGGGATTAAAGGTCAAAGGGGTCTGCACCCACTTCTGCGCAAGGTTGGTATAGAAGCTCACCCTTAAGAAAAATAGGGTATAAGAAAGATAATGTATGAAAATAAAAAGGAAAGCAGAAGGGGCAGAAGGAGAGAATCCTGCTATAAAAATGGAATTTCCCATGACCAAGCGTTTTGCCAATGCTGGACACTTTAACAAAAAGCAAAACCTTTAGTGCAAATGAGTCTTAACTTTACAGTTGTCTGAATGCTCCATCAATGCGAAGCCTGTCAGGCACACGCCTTAGAGAACGGCGAGCTCTAGACTTGGAATAGAAATAAAAAAAAAAAAAAAAAACAAGGACATCCAGCGATCTGAATGAAATCTCAGGTGAGATTATTTTGTATGCCTTCTTTTCCCCTTTAGTGCACATGAAAAGGATTCTCAGTGTGATAAGCTTTGACAAGACCTGGCACCAAAGCAGGTGCCAAGGAACCCAGCAAGACTGACGCATGAGCGACGCTCTGGGCACCAGAGGAAAGGATTGCTGCCATGGCAACAGAATAAAAGCATCTCCATTATGTCTTTTATGAGTTTGGATTTATGTCAGCTCAACAACAGAAAGGTACACTCAAAGTTTTTTTTTTTCATATCAACAAGAGTAGGTACACCGTGTGCCTTTGAAAAGTCAACAATAAGCAAAACTTTCCTCCTAGTTCATTTGCTTTAAAATAAATGGATACTAGACACTTGGAGTATGCTTAATACCTAAAATATAAAAAAGAAAAGCGCCACACTAAACAAACTATGTATCAGCAGCAACTCCGACCAAAAAAATTATATATGTGTGAAAATTAATCTGGCAAAGTGAACAAACATATCAAAAGAGTATGCGCTAAAAATAAAATATATATATATATATACATATGTATATCACCATATATTAAGTGTCCAAAATAAATATTAAGTGTCCAAAATAAATATTAAGTGTCCAAAATAAAATATATATATTAATATCCAAAGCAAGTAATCTTCTGTGACTTCATAACACTGTGAAAAATCCACCACCAAATGAATTAAATAAATATTTAATTCCTCTGGTGAGTTTATTTAATTCATTTGGTGGTGGATTTTTCACAGTGTTATGAAGTCACAGAAGATTACTTGATTTGGATATTAATATATATATTTATTTTGGACACTTAATATTTATTTTGGACACTTAATATATGGTGATATACATATGTATATATATATTTTTTTTTTTATTTTTAGCGCATACTCTTTTGATATGTATGCTTAAGACTTAGGAGCCAAAAATGTGGCTACAACAATAGTAGATTAAAAGAAAAACTAAAAATCCTCCTGCACTGTTACGGAAATACCCTAACCAATAGCGGCCAACACCCAATGATAATACCAACACAACAATAAAAATGAAAAATAAATGGTGCCGAGCTAACTACAAAAGTGAATAAAAATAAATGTGTATCCATATATTAATAAAGTGCTAATAAATCAACAAACCAAAAATATGCATATAGCAATAAAGTGCTAATCAGAACCAGGATAACACAAAAGTGGACAATACTAGTGTATGGGTCACCTAAAAATAGTGATGAACACACACAATATATAATGAAAATAAACTGGTGTTAAGTGTCCTTGGTAATAATCAAAAAACCTTTTGAAGCAAGTACTAATAAGTCCATAAAGTAGCAAGTGCTGATAAAATGTGATAAAAAAACCATGTAATGTGTTAAACGTGAACACTTTGTGCAAGTGTCAGCACACTTTAACCTCCCTAACGGTATTCCCGAGTGTAGCTCGGGGTAAAATGTCAGTGCCAAAAGCGGTAACCCCGAGCTACACTCGGGCTTACCATGCGGCGCTGCATAGGGGGTCCCTGCAGCACTTACCTTGTCCTTCGCTCCCGCGATGCGTCCCCTGCAGGGTCCCCGGCCATCTCCTCCGGCCGATGCCGGCATCCGGCTTCCGTGTTCCGGTCCCTGTGACGTCGGGACGTACGGGCGCCGCCGGCGGTGGCGGGAAATTTGAAGATTAAAAAAAATGTCATTTTTTTCAAAACACATTTTTCATAGTAAAACATTCCTGTTTCAACCCATTTCACATACATTTTGTCCCGAGTGCTTTGTCCGGCGCCCTGCCTGCATTTTTACTGTTCTTTCTGCCTGGAAACTGAGAAACGTCCATGGCGTCCAAAAAGCGTCCCTTTAGGTCAAAAGCGGGTTTAGATCAGCTAGAGAACAGCGATAGTAAATCAGAACCACTTGCAGAATTGAGTGATAATGATTCGTGGGGGAAATTCCTCATCAGACACTGAAAACGATTCTGCGACTTTGCTCAGCGATGTGCGAACTTGGCGCTCTATTTCACATTTCAGTGTTTTCGGTTTGATTATATTATTGAATTAAATTTATTATTATATTATTATTTTTTTATGATTATTTATTAAATTATAATTTATGATTTCGTGTTTCAAATGTTATCATACCCGGGATGTTTACTAGACTCTTGTTTGGACAGATTTCAGTGAGTTATTCCTAAAAATTACAGCCTACAATAAAAAAAACTACATATTTCCATGCAAAATAATGGTACCGCTTTCAGCACCAAAAATCTGAAATAATCAGACCGCCAGGGAGGTTAAATCCACTCCAGCTGCAGTGCCTCCTCACCTCCTTCCTGTGACCCAAAAAGGGCCCAACAAGTATTCAGGATCACTCTGGACCCTTTATATCTCCGACTAATACCTCTCCAGAAAGCCAAGGATCATAAACGGTCTCCTCTTCAGCCTTCAAATGCTTCCTCCTCTGCCTTTTATAAGGATACTCTGTAGGGTATATTACTCAGAATCCCAGTGAGTAATAAAAAGATCCTCCATAGTGTAGTATTATTAATAATGCAATCTTTATTTAAACATAAGAAGTACACTCACATGAATATGCATTCCCTTCCTCCTGTTGTATGTGGGTATGCTGCATCCATGTGGTACTTCCTGGGTGTACTGGGTATGCTAAGATGGCATCCTCCACCGGAAGTGCGTCACTCGTACCGGAAGCTGCGTGTCGGTGTTACCTACGCGTTACGCCACGTGGTCTTGTGACTTCCTCCTTTGGTTTGTTGATTTATTAGCACTTTATTAATATATGGATACACATTTATTTTTATTCATTTTTATTCACTTTTTTAGTTAGCGCTGCACCATTTATTTTCAACAGCACTACAAGTAAACATTTTGTATTCAGCAATACCATTTGACTCATAAGCTGAACTGCAGACGTCTCTTCAGCTTTGCGCAGTTGTACCGGCTCCTCTCCTGGACTAAAATTGCTTCCTCTGAATTCACTGCACACTGTGAGCTTTCTCATCATGTGCATGTGCATTAGCAGCTGCAGCAAGGCAGAACCAGCTTTAATTCCTGGCATCATTTAGTCCTTTCATTCCCAACCAAACTGTTCCTGGCCCACCCCTTTTATTCATTGTATTTTAGTTCTTTCAATTATGGAGCATCACATTTGGGTGTGTTACCTAGTGCGGTCTGCATGTAAATAAAGTCTGCCTAGGAATGTCCACTCTTCCAAATTGACACCCACCCAGGGGCGGACTGACCATTTGGAAACTCGAGCACTGCCCTAGGGCCTGGGGTCAGTAGGGGGCCCCATGAGATGCCCCTGGTACCTTTTTCATAGGCTTTTTTGAGTTTGGGCAAGGACACAGGGGCCCCATGATCCCCTATTGCCTGGGGGCCCCATGAGTTGTCAGTCCTCCCCTGCACCCACCCATCAAGGTATTTTGATATTTGCCTAACGTCTCCCAAGAGCCAGCCAACTGTTTACATCAGGACCAGAGGCGGACTGACCATTTGGAAACTCGGGCACTGCCCGAGGGCCTGGGGTCAATAGGGGGCCCCATGAGATGCCCCTGGCACCTTTTTCATAGGCTTTTTTGAGTTTGGGCAAGGACACAGGGTCCCCATGATCCCCTATTGCCCGGGGGCCCCATGAGTTGTCAGTCCGCCCCTGATCAGGACTAAGGATTCTTGAGAAAAGTGCTGAGGCAGGGTGTCGTGATGTTTTCAGGAAGCTACGTACAGCACCCCGCCTTGTCCCTCTCAGCAGTCATTATCTGCCTCATGGGTCACTCTGGGATCCTCCCAGGGAATGGTATTGCTTTTCCATTGGCTCTGTCAACATCTGTGGTTTTTTTTCCACTCTTCCTCTAAACCCATCCCATGCCCCCCCCCCCTTTTTTTTAGTTATCTGTAGGGAGGGGGGGG